AAATATTAGAATATAGTGTGATCTTGGTTTTATTAATTAAGACAGTTATATAACTTTAAACCCTAAAGTACCAAGAGAAGCTCAATTCTCACAAAGAACAGAAATCCATAGTATTCAAAGTGAACACAGAAACTACCCCATCAGATTTCACTCCATTCTCAACTTTCCATGAACCATGATCACCCACTATAAGTAGATGGTAAACATGGTGTTGTCTGTCACCTTTCCCTCAAAGGCCCTTGTCTAATACTCAGATAATGTTATTTTTAACTAATCAAAATTAATTGAATGACATTGAGTTTTTATGTACTTCTTTGTTCTCGCTTTCATTAAATACATCATTAAACCATCATTTACCTGCTCTACTCTGATAGCAAGTTAGTTGATTCTTTCCTTTGTTTTCTACAAATTTTTACTTGATGTCAAAAACTATAGTTAAGAAATGAATCAAAAGTGGTCCCTGGGGTGAATAAGGAAATATCACAGTGGGTATTTCCTCTTAAGCAAACATGATGGCCTGAATTTGTGTAAAAGAAGGCACTGATAGATGAATCACCGTGGCTTACTGATCACCATCCATGCTCCGGGTTTAGTAAAGGATCCTGTTTTATAAGAATAATTTGGAGGATGATAAAAAAGGACACTGGATGCCCTCTAATTTTGGTGTGCACATGACAATCTCCCACATACATACAGGCCTACACACCACATGCATACACACTCACACACACACATATACACACAAAGTTTAAAATTGATACTAGAATATTTATAATAGCCAAATGATAGTACCCTTGAATTGCACGAATAAGGAATACAGTTTGGAGTTCAAGCCCTAAATTGAACAACAAAACAAATAAAAAACACACAAAGCAAAAAAAAAAACAGTAGTACTTGCTTTAATATAAATTACACTTGAATTGAGGTTAAAAGGAGGCACAAAACATCATCTTGATTATAAATGCATCTATATATCAATCCGTTCACATAGAATGTGATAAATTGTTCATATATAATTATTTTCCAAACATCTAGCCTTGAATTCCTCCAACTTATTTGCTGTCCAGAGAATGTAATTTGCAACATACCAATGTGATCAGGTATGAATTATTTATATATCAACTACTACTTAAATGCAGTTTTTCTATATTCATTTTGATTGTCCAAGTATGCATGGGAACATTATTGTAAGAACTCTCTAAAAACATTTTAATGGACATCAGGGCCAAAATTATTTTTTGATAATAGTAAAATGTCATTTTTTTAACTTCTACCTTCTCACATTTTACACTCAAAATTTCCAGTCATATATAACTTGTTATGACTGCATAACTTGTGTAGAAACAGATTGCATGAAGAAACAAATATGAGAATTCAAATGTTTTCAATTAAACCAGATATTAAAACATACAAGATGGTCAAAAACAATGCAGATCTCCTCATTAAATATATTTTGTTTAGGAAACATTAAATATCTTTCATAAACTATATACTGCTTATGGTAATATGCAATGCATTTATTATTCTAAATACAGTAATAAATATTTAAACAATTTTCAGCTTTTATTTCTAATAATGACAAATATCACTAGAAAAAATCCACAGCAATTATGTTTTAGAATACTCAATGAAGTTTGAGTATAATGAGGTCTTCAGTTGTAAAAGGTTGAGAACCTGTGCAATAAATCATATTCAATTATGACTTTGATTTGTCTTAAGCAGTGTACACTTACTCTTTGCTTCATTCACACAAAGACTTTCTTTATTCCCACACAGGTGGTAACAGGTACTCACCTGTTCATTTTTAATTATCTCCCACTTTCCTGGATCCTACCAGAAAAGGAACTGAAACAAGGTGAAGATGAGGCAGGAATACAGTAGTATACACAAAGACACAACAAAATATTCAGGTTGAGACTGTCTGATGCACTCTTTACTTCCTTCATTGTTATATTCAAATGATTTTCTGGAAACTACTATACACATTGACACTAACCCAAAACAAATACTAATAATATTTTCTGTAAACCTGTTTTAGTGAGACTCTCAGTTAATAATTCAAATATTATAGTTTGATTATAATCAATCAACTTTGTTTTAGGACTTTTTTTACCTGTCTTGTTTACAAGTGAAAGTCTGTTTTTCTTGACAGTTGAAAACTTGGAATATTTATTTCTAAAATATAGAAAACATATTTAAATGTAAGTTTTAGTAACACTTAATGAAAGATGTTCATACTAATCTTAGTATGCATTTCATATCTAATTGTTTGATTTACCAGTGTGCCTCATTTACATGAAAGAAGAGTACATTTGCCTATTACATGAGAAGTATAATATTATCTTTCAGAAATGACTGTCTCTTGAAAGGCTAAACACTTTGGGACAGATCAGTTACTCATTTATTTCTTTGATTGATAATTTCAAAATTAGCCTGACATATTTTATTCTTGTAACAATCCCATAGAATATACACTTTTAACCCACAAACTCATCACTCTCTATAATTTTTGACTAGAAAACTAATTTGGACTTCATTTGAATTTAGTTATTTGCTTACTACATTCCCATACTTAAAAAATCTGCCAGATATTTAAGAATCATTCAGAACTTGCCTTTTTTACCATTAACCCATCTGGATTTTTCTCATTCCCTGTTATATCACCATTAGCAGCACAAGCAGCAGAGCAGAATGAGGAGAATGAATATCATAGGTTCATATTTCTGGTATCATATTCATGAGTTCGTGGAGAGGTTGCCTCAGACCTCAGCTGTGTAACATGTACTGCCCCACACCATAATATCACTGGTCTAAATAATTCACCATACAATTGCCTTCAACTCATCAAGAAATGCTTGAATTTCCTATTTAAATTTTATTCCAAATCATTTTTATTTACCATCTGCACCATTACCCGCTATAATTTAAATGAACAATTTTCTCATACGGATTAAAACAAGAGTTATTACTCATTTCCAAACTGCGCTATTTTTACACAAAACAGCTAATGAAATTATTTTGAAACAAGAAACAATATTGATTGTTCAAAATATTCAAAAATTTTCCCGTAACACTAGTAAAAGGCAAAACTTAAAATTCCCATGATGCTCAACATTGATTGCTTAATTGCCTATGGCTTCTTCTAATTCTAATGGCCATAACAAATGTCACCTCAGATGTGTATGTCTATCATTTCCCATTCTGACTATGTGTAATTTTTAACAGTGATATTTTTGAAGTCTAGAAATATATGTTTCAGAGAATTCATGTTCAGTCCAACCTACTGTAAATATACTCACTCTAGATATATGGGGGTTTTGAAAGGGTTTTCAGCCCCTTTTGGATTGAGAAAGAAGGGAGAGAGGCATTCACTGGTCATACTGCACTGAGTTACAGATAGTTTGTGAGCTGCCATATAAGTGCTAAGTACTAAATCTAAATCCTCTACAAAAACAAGTATTCTTAAGTACTGAACAATATTTAGAGCTTCCAATTTCTCTTTTATTTTTTTAAATTTATTTATTTATTTATTTATTTATTAAAAATTTCCAACTCCTCCCCGACTCCCTTTTCCCTTCCCCTCCCCACCTCCCCCTCCCTCTCTAGTCTAGAAAGAAAGAGGATGTAGTTCTATCTTAAGCTGGTATATCAGTTATTTATGCTCATGTCCACTTTAAATATATCAGTTAATTTCAACCTGGTCACTAAGCAATCCTGAAAGAAGTACAGGGGACATGACTTAATCTCAAGTTTCAGATAAAAATGGAATTTTCAGTGATAAATTGTGTGTAATATATAATCTAAAATCTGACCAAACTAAAAGTGCTTGTTTGAAAATCAATTAGCTATACTGTTATTTTCTGATAAGCAGTATACAGTTTTTGCCAGATAAATGTTTGCAAGGTTTTCTCAAAATCTTTAAGTAGCTAAAGATTCTTTTATGTTACAAAATCACCAGCTGTGGAGTTCTCAATTGATCTTAACAGCTCCTGATTTTATTCTCATTTAATACTCAACAATTATTTCAAATAAAACACTGAAAGATTTATGAAACTATTTTGCTTAAGAGGATCTATTTTCATTGATATTTCACTGCTAAGTGTATTTTACAAGTGTACCAAGTTGTAATATTCATAAGAATTTTCCGTGGACATTTTAAAATATGGTACAGACAGTAAAGGTGCATGCAGCCAATCTGGCATTATTAGATCAATCTCCTAATCCTGAACTTACATGAGAACTGGATTCCTTCAAGTTGTCCTCCTACTGCATACATTCACCATCCACTTGCCACAAATGAATCTAATTAAAAAAAAATAAAAGAGTAAGTAGCACATGGAGTAGTCTCATTCCTGTCTAAGAAGAGCTCTTAAACTAGATAAAAAAGGGGAAAAAAAGGAAAGAAACGTAAGAAAGTAACAAAAACCAGCCGCCCAAGCCACTCAAGCGGCCCTAAGATAACGAAGTAGGTGACATACTATTTGATGTTTTCTGAACTTCAACAGCTGCCGTAACACACATCAATTACACATGGCACAGTCTCATTTCTGTCAAAGCAGAGCTTTTAAACTGGATAATAAAGAAAATAGGAAAGAAAGAAAAGAAAAAAAACGAAACAAAAACCAGCCATCCAAGGCACCCAAGGCGCCCAAGCCGCCCTAAAATATCGAGATAGGTGAGATAAGATATGACACTTTCTGAACTTCACCAGCTACCGTAACACACATCCTTTTTGTCAGTAAGCTGTTTCCGGTCCCCCCCCCCTTTTTTTCTGTTTCACATTTTACCCGAGGCCTTGTGGTCAGCCTGCCGCTTCTCACTTCTGTCCGTTGGTTTGTCTCCCCTTCTCCAGTTCCTTGTGGTTGACGCTGAGCCTAATGGTCTTCCCGAAGTCCTAGTGGTAGTTCCTTGCGATTGACTGTGAGCCTAACGGCCTTCCTGAAGTCCTAGTGGTTAGTGATTTCTGCAGTTCACACCCACTAGAACAAAAAGCCTTCGAAATGTCCCAAAAGAGCAATTCAGGCGTGGTGGAGAAATTTGTGAATAAAAGCCTGCTCCACTGCTTGGGTGAGACTGCTGGTGCCTTAGCAGACACAGAGACAGTTTCTGATACCAAAACCAATGGTCTAGAAACGAGTCCTAGCAGCAATGTTGCTGGCGCCGGAAATAGCAGTGTTTCCAGCCCTCAAGGTACTGACCTCAGAGATCCTGGAAACGGTGACCAGGGTTGCGATGGTGACAAAGAGGATGACGAGTACCGTGATGACAATGACTCCAGCGGTCCAGACATGGAGGACTCTGACAGTTCTATCAGCAGTGGGGAAAACTCCTCCAGCCAACAAGAGATGGAGGAAGGTGAGATTGTGGGATGCCTATTTTACCCCCAAGACCTGGAGCCTGGTGAGGTTGTGGATGAGGAGGGAGTGAAAGGCCAGTTCTATCACCGCCACTATGAGTTGGAGCCTGGTGAGGTTGTGGATGAGGAGGGAATGCAAGGCCA